CCTGTACCCTCATCCGCACCTTGGCTTCCTGGACCCCCGAGTCCCTGCCCTGTTTGGCTGTAGCGTGTATGCTGGTCTCTCAGGAAAAGATGTGTGAGGAGTCGGCATCCTTCGACCTGACCCCCCATGACGTGGCTTCTGGACTGGACGCCATAGACCAGGTCTTGGAGGAGCAGACCAAGGTGGCACAGCAGGGCGAGTTCCACTTGGACTTCAGTGCGGACTCTGCCGCCTCAGGTGAGTTTGCAGGTGGGAGACGAGAGACGAGACAAGCTGCCCGGTGGTCTCCGGTCCCAGCGCCTTCTTCAGTCGTTTGGGGACAAGGTGAACTTCTTTTTTCTTCAGCGTTTTACATTTGAGAGCAAGAGAGAGGGAGAGCAGGAGCAGGGGAGGGGCAGAGAGACAGAGATGAATCGGAAGCAGGCTCCAGGCTCCAAGCTGTCAGCACAGAGCCTGATGTGGGGCTTGAACCTGTGAGCAGTGAGATCCTGACCTGAGCCAAAGTCGGACGCTTAACTGACTGAGCCCCCAGGTGCCCCAAGATGAATTATGTTAGGAGGGTCTTGGGGCTTCACGGAGCAGGGAGTGGGTGCCCTCTGACCGTTCCATCATTCTCTGAAGACCTTTCCACAGTTTCCCAGCGGTAGAGACTCCACTGTATAAAAATGAAAACTACACGTGTTAACTGTGAAGTACGTCATTTATCAAAGACCCGCTAGCGTTACTCGTATGTGGCTTACTCTCCTCACAGTCCCCTCCCGGTGTTTTCCTGAACACAAGGGTAATTGTGCTGGACGTGCACGTGTTTGGTGGCCACGGTTAGTTTGCGTGGATCCGCTCCACGGCCTCTGTCAGTGGCTGACAAGGTCACAGCAGGACCGCTCTGCCGTAGGCACCTCCCCTGTCTGGTTGCTAGAGGTTTGGGACGTTTGCGCTCTGCACAGTGGCGTCTCCAGAGGCTTTGCTGTGTCGTGCCGTCAGGCTCGGGGTGCCGGCGGGGGCAGCTGGAGCTTCCTCTTTGCGACCGGAGACTGAACAGTCTCCAGAGGGAGCAGAGGCCCCCCCTGCGGGCTCCATGCTCCCTTCTTGCCCAGGGCACCTGCGTCTGCCCTCTCGGTCAGGCCTCCGCTGGCTTGCCCACAGCCCCGCGCCGATGGACGGAGGGTTCGTAAGCGGCGCTTGTGTGGTTGGCACAGAAGTTCTCAAATGTTTTGGTTTGGACCTTTATGTTCTTAACGCTTTACTGAATTCTGGGCGCCTGGGCGGTTCAGTCAGTGAGGTGTCTGACTTACGGTTCATGAGTTTGAGCCCCGCATCGGTCTCTGTGCTGACAGTGCACAGTCTGCTTGGGATTCTCTCTCTCCCTCTCTCTCGGCCCCTCTCTGACTCACGTGCACACTCTCTCCCAAAATAAATAAATGAAAACTTAAATCTAAAAAAGTTAAAGTTAAGAAGAAACCTTACTGATTCGTCTTCCCGTGAATGTTTATCAATGATTACTGTATTAGAAATGGAAACTAAACAAACAGAGACTAAACAGGTCACAACGATGTGTTTGTTCTTGTGAGTAACGAGCCATTACGCGTTACGTGAGGCTCCAGGGCTGCCGTAACAACACGCCATAAGCCGGGCGACCTGGAACAACAGGACCCCCCTCTCCCCGCCCCTGCCCTGGGGCCCAAGTCTGAGGCCCACACGTCGGCTCCACACTAAGGCTCCTGAGGCGTCTGGGGCGTCTGTCCAGCCTCCAGCCTCCGTTGTGTCTTCACGTGGGTTTCTCTCCCGTGTGTCTGTGTCCAAATGTCCCTCTTCTTGTAAGGACACCGGTCACGGAAGTAGGACCCACTGTCATGCACAGTGACCTCATCTTAACTTGATCATATCTGCAAACACCCTGTTTCCGGATACGGTCACACTCACAGAGACCACGGGTTAGGAATTGAACAGATCTTTTTATAGAACGTGGTTCAGTCCGTGGCACGTTGACACAAATAATGTTTTGTTTCCCTTCCTTCCTTCCTTTTCTTTCTTTATCTCTCTCCGCTCCCCTCCCTCTTCCTCCCTTCCTTCCTTCCTTTCTTTTGAGAGAGAGAGACAGAGAGAGAGAGAGCACGAGCAGGGGAGGGGCAGAGAGAGAGGGAGACACAGAATCCGAAGCGGGCTCCGAGCTGTCAGCACAGAGCCCGAGGCGGGGCTCGAGCCCAGGAACTGTGCGTGAGATCACGACCTGAGCCAAAATTGGACGCTTAACCGACTGAGCCACCCAGGTGCCGCGAGAACGTTTTTCTTAAAAAACGACTGTGTTTTAAAAATCGAAAGAGTGGCGTCTTGTTACGGTTAAAAAGATCTGTTTAACAATCTGGCTTTGTCAAAGGTGGTTGGGCCGTAACTTTCTGCTTTTGCTCTGATGCGGTACCGCCCATCACGTGCTGTGTTCATTTCCCGCTGCTGCTGTAGGTAGTGCCGGCAACGCCGGGCAACACAGATGTGTCGTCTTCTAGGTCTCCCGGGTCCGTCCAGGCCGGTCCATCCGAGGGGAAAGGCGAACCGTGTGTCGTGCTGAGGGGTGGCGTTGTCATGAAGACGGGTGCGGCCCTGCAGGCCCCCTGAGCCAGTCTCGGGCTCCGGGTCCCTGAGCCTCACAGGAGCTTGTCTGCCCCCGTGGAGCCCTGCCCGTGTGTACCTGTCTCACGTTTTCCCTTCATCAGAACTGCTGAATCAGAGCTGTGTTCGACGCCCGAATGCGCGTGTGTTTGAGTGAACAGCTACGTGTTTCTCTGCGAGGACGCCTAGAAGTGGATTATCCGGATGGATGGTCTTATGTTTTTCTTAAACCTCGTTATCTTGAAGTTTTTATTTTCAAGTCTGTGTCCCCTGAGAACTCTCCAAAGCGCAGTGACTTCGCCACAGTGTCCCAGTGTCCGCCATGCGACGTGCCCCCTCAACATGTGGTTTCAGACTGCTGTGCGTCCGCGGAAGTGTCCTGGCCTGCCGTGCTCCGCTCTTGTTACGGGCTCCGGTTTTCTTCTCCGGGGACGCGTCCAGAGCCTCCTCTGCCTCAGGGTCTTTCCTGTGTCTTCCCTGACTTGTGAAAAATGGCCCCCTTTCTCCTTCCGTTTCTCTGAAGTCGCCGTGGCAGGCGTCCGCTTTGGTTTTCCTTCCGATTCAGTCTTCGTTTTTAAAATCATCTTTTGTTTTTCTCCTGTTTCTATTTGAGTTCTGTGGACGGGTGATCTCTTTTTGTGCGTCCTTCCCGATACTCTGTATCTTAGCGTTCGTCTCCCAAGAACAAGGACACTCTCGTGTGGCCTTGCTCTGATCGGGAGACCAACATCGATAGTGCCCTCTTGTCAAGAATTTGTCCAGCCGTCCTCACTGTAGCCTGAGACACAACCAGAGGAAATGTCGTGGTCTGGGGGCCACACCGTGGCCGTGTCTCTGTGGCCTGAGAGCTGTGGTCTGGACAGATGTCCTCTTCTGTGGCCTAGATACCTGTGAAGAGAAAGGTTAGTTACATTCGACGCCCTGCACTTGGGACGTGTGAGATGTGCCCTCGTGACTCCGTTCGGGACCGCCCACAAGTGCCATGCCCTCGGGCTCGTATCGCAGACGAGGCTCGGCACGTCTGTGCGTGCGTTGTTGGTGACGCCAACTTTGATCGCTCGGTAAGTGACGACTGCCGGATTTTCCTGCTATGAAGTCTCTGCTCTTCCATCTGTAATTTCTAAGTAGCCTGTGGCGTCCGTTCGCGATTCGTCTCTGAAGTAACGATTACCGTAATGTTCGCAAGATGACGTGTCTTCTTTCCCCTGGATGCCGCTCATTTCTGAATTGGAATTTCCCTGTGTGGAAGACTTTGCTCCTCTACACGGCAGGGCAGCGTCCTTCCCGTGCGTGCGGGGTCGCGGGCTCACGCACACGCTCCAGTCTGTCTGAAGCCGCGCGTCTCATCCTCGCTTTCTCCCCGTCCACGTCGGTCTTCCCATCCATTTTGTCTTGTTTTTATTTATCTGTTTAAGTAATTTCTACACCCAGTGTGGGGCTCAAACTCAGGACCCTGAGGTCTAGAGTCGCCAGCCGGGAGCCCCGATCCATCCTTTTTATGTATTTATTTACTTTTAATTATATTTTTTATTTTTTAAAATTTACATCCAAGTTAGCATCTAGTGCAACAATGATTTCAGGAGTGGATTCCTTAGTGCCCCTGACCCATTTAGCCCATCCCCCCCCCACACCCTCCCCAGTAACCCTCAGTTTGTTCTCCATATTTGTGAGTCTCTTCTGTTTTGTCCCCCTCCCTGTTTCTATATTATTTTTGTTTCCCTCCCTTATGTTCATCTGTTTTTTCTTTTAAAGTCCTCATGTGAGTGAAGTCATATGATTTTTGTCTTTCTCTGACTGACTGATTTCTCTTAGCATAATACCCTCCAGTTCCATCCACGTAGTTGCAAATGGCAAGATTTCATTCTTTTTGATCGCTGACTAACACTCCATCGTATATATACATCACGTCTTCTTTATCCATTCATCCATCGATGGACATTCGGGCTCTTTCCACACTTTGGCTATTGTTGATAGTGCTGCTATA